TATTATTAATTTTCCGAAATTACTGTTAATGTTACTAAAACTATTTCGATTTGTTCTTTTTCAGTATTGTGTTAGATCAGCCTATGCTTTTTTACAGCTAGCAGTTATAAGAATCTGCAAACAAACGATAAATCGATTTTCACTTGCTATCGTCCAACCTGTGTTAGGGATCACACGTTTAAAGGTAAGACCTCGTTAATCCTCAGCTCGCACAAGTGTCGACTTCTGAGTGTTGTCGTTCGTATGGGTGCGACAGCTGGTTAACAGAAAACAGATTTTGAACAGATTTGAACAGATATAATGATTTGAAGAGAAAATGCATTCCAAACTCACTCCAATTTATTCCAAAACATAGTACTGTAGAGCCCTAAGGCTCGTCGGATGTCTACCAGTGAGGATGGCACTGTTCCATGTAAGTGAAATTTTCATTTAATATATTGTGTAGGAGTCCTGTGAATGATATCTGATTCAATTCCATAACGAATGTTTGGAATACAAACTGAGTAGTATGTTTCTTTCGTGTAATTCAATGTTTTAATGAGAATAGCTGTTTCAGAAGGGTTTTTCCTTCCGGTTTATGTCTGAAAGTCACTTCTTTGCATGATCTACACAACTGTATATAGAGTTCCTCCTTTTGAATTAATTGCATCCTTCCTTTCTTGGGAAGATTCCCACATTTTTTTGTATCAAGATGGAGAAGTAGAAAGCCAAAAACTTTCTTTGCCATGTCCATAATGTTTACCATTCACTTTCTTACAATGAAAAGATCTGTTTATTCGTTTTATATCCACGAGTTCTAAAATGAACTGTATATCGTAAGCTTCAGATATCACACATCTCCTCAAAAACATCTAGAAGCGTCATTTCAGGTGATCTAGGGGGCCATTCTGAGAAACCACGTTTGTCTGTCGATCGTTTTGGATAATTTTTTTTCATAAAGTCTTTTCAAAATCAGAAAAGGTAGCTCATCTTGCTGGAACGTAACACCCGTTGAAATATCATTTAGGTTTGTCGCATTTCCTAACTGGTAGATAAGAAGAGCTGGTCCTTTAAAATGGCCCACTGAATCACCTGATATGGTGCCTATAGATATTTTAACTGGAGTCTCTAAATCCATTTCGTGTTTCTCTAACACTTGCAAGAAAATACTTATTCGTTTCAATTAGTTTTATGATATTGGAAAAAAGTATCATTATTTAACTTCTCTCGTGTTTAGTGTCAAACTGATGAAAAAGTCAAAAATAATTTCAAAAAAATATTGATGAGCAATATCACTACGTATAAATCAAAGTCGCTTTCCGCTGTCTGTCCCTATGTATGCTAAATCTTTAAAACTACGCAACGGATTTTGATGCGGATTTTTCAATAGATAGAATGATTTTAGAGGAAGGTTTATATTTGCATAACATGCATAATATAATTATTATTTTAGAGGTTTCCAATGTGATGTCGTCAATAAACACCTTTTTTTGCGCTTACATTGCAAACGCTGGCTGACCCTTACGAGATAGATAAAAAAATGTACTACAGTATTGTACACTACAATAATCTACTAAATCTACAGTAATTCTACAAAAAAGTCCGTGATGGTATATGTCTATTTCTAAGGGGTAAACCACAAAAACATTTTTTATCCTCGACAAATAATGGCTTATCTACGAAGCGACTTTAAGCAGCACAGCATTAATCCTTATCCAATTAAGTACTTTAAATACATTGTGCATTAAATATAGATCAATATGGCCCTTTACAGCATGTAATTCAAATGAATATTTTTCGAAGATATTACCGATTTAAAATGCAGGGACATAGCGATTGCGGCGGTGCCTGATAGCGCGTTGAAGACTGGTGCTTTGCACTATAATAGCACTTGATGATTGGCAGTGATCGCACGCGTTTATATGAATATTAAGTATCAGCATTGCACCCGTGCGGAGCCGTGGCGGTCACTATTAGTATATTCTTCTTCATTCATAAAATTACGACTCACGAATGAGTCAAATCTACTCATGTCATCGATGACAGTACATAATGACATTCATTCGTTAATTTGATTAATTCCCAGCCATAGGAATTTTGTTTAAATTGAAAGGGGAATATTTTAAGGAGAGATACGTTTTTAAGAAAGAAAGGTTTCGGCTTTCTAATTCTCCATTTTAATACGAAATAATGTAGGGAGTCTTCTGTTTAAAATATGTTTGTTTAAATTCTGTTTTTCCGTTAATCAGCTGTCGCCCCCATACGAACGACAACTCTCAGAAGTTGAGAAACTTGTGCGAGCTAAGGACTAACGAGGTCTCACCTTTTAACGTGTGATTCCTAACACGGAAGAAAGGAAGAAATTAATTAATTCCAAAATCAACTATTCACAAGTATGTGCTATGAATTTGTACTACTTGATCTTTCTTACCAGTTTGAATAGTACGCTTTCAGTTGAATCAATCATGTCGTACCACAGATGCGTTGATGTGATGTATCAATACTTCATTCAACAACTTTTTGCGGTTATTAAGATTGAAATAGAACGAAAAATACTATCTCCGTGAATTCCTATTACACCATTTCGCCAAAGTGATATTTACCTGGTCAAAACCAAATTGCCTCAGTTAATAGTCAGGTAGTAGGTTCAGTCTGTTTAAACACTTGAACTTCGGAACCCCAAATTGTAAAGGTTGCATGGGATAATTTTCAACTGGCTATCTATCTGACTTGTAGGCTGAGGAGCGTGAAATATTTCAAAAGAGGAAGGGACACGGTTGGAGAGATACTATAGAAAACTGCATAAAAACGAATTCAAGACAGGCGTATACATTTTTAATATATTCGATGACAATTCATCTCTTGTATTCTCAAATTAGAATGACATTTGGCACTTCTACTGAAAACTAGACAACTGAGAAAACCTTGAATTGTAACAATTCAAGTAATGGCAATTCAAAAAATATTTGATAAGAACCTTATCGAACAGAGTATTGTACAATATTAAATTTTCAAAAACGTGAAAATCATTGACAATGTTAACTTGGGGAAACTTTAAACTGGGCACAGAAAAATGAATTTCAGTTAGTGTTTTACTTTTCTTACTACTGAAAAATAGTTCAATAAAACGGAAATTAAAAAAGAAAGATGATAAACTATAAAATTATTAAGGAAATATCCCCACGTTCTTGAGACTGTTTATCTACTACATTTCAAAACTTTACATTTTCATTAAAATTTCTAGACGCAAGTATGTATGTATCGTCAACAAAAAATGTCGGCTGTACCTACAATGCATAATAATATACTTCTTGAGAGTAGTCAAACCAAGTGCACAATTCAAAAATTATGTATATAATCCAAAATATAATTCCTTATTAAAAAAATCAAGTGGTGAGAGGTGTGGGAATCTGGGGGTCATTCTATTGTCTTTCATTCACTAGTCCATCTCTCAGTGAAGCAGAAACAATAACATTATGAATTATTTCAATGATAAAGGTTTACAAACTATCAAACAGCTTGAACGCATTTCGTTATTTTTCTAATAATTAACCAGTTTCTTTCCAAACAATCCCTAAATATTTCTATTTCTTACATTCAACAGGAATTATTTTAAACTGCATTCAAAAAAAAAACTACACAGATTAAGAGAAGTTCTCTCGTAAAAATAAACACTCTGCAATTTAAACTATTTTGATGACATTTTTTCATTTCCATGAAGTGGTTAAATTATAAATCTAGTATATTATACCACAATATTTTGTAGATCCCTGATTATGACAAAATTCCTATCGAATATAGAAATATTATAATCAAAATGTCGCTTGTAGAGATGTTATCTCTTGAAAAGGCAATTCTATTTTTAATTGAATTTATGAATTGAAAACTTCCAGACAAACCTCAGGAAAAATGCCTGATTAAAAAAACAACGTCCAGCATGTTATTCATTAATCAGTCCTTTTATTAGCTTTGATGTAATCAGTATATTTTCAACGCTGGATTTATATAATATATGTACGAGACAGAAATATTCACCTATCTCTTCATCTATCTCATAAACTATATTCATCAAACCCACTAGAAGGGGCAAAAAGAATAAAGAACCACTGAAAGTTACCTGTGAAGGGTTCTTCAATACTGTGAATACATTTGGATTCGATATAAAATAAGAAACTATATTTCTTTGAAGCATTTGAAGCAAATTTATTACTTCTTACTCAGTCAGTTTTCATTTAGTGTGTGGGAAACTGTTTCAAATACAACGTTCAAACCATCAAAGCTAATAAATGCATTTTTCATTGTTTAGAAACAACTAAAAATCTATATAAACCAAAGCGTTTACTTGAATATCAATTATATTTATGAATGAGAAGAATGCACCTTTCTGCAGTCTGTTATAAAGAATAAAAATCATTCCACTATAAAATTATAGAACATAGAAATGTACATGATCATCAAAAAAGACAGTTCAATAATTTGTTTGTGTCTGTGTTAAAAATAAACTGTTGGGATAAAAGTCCCATAATATTAATTACTACACCAATGGTTCCAAACAGTGCATTACAAGTACATTTGTAAAGTATTTACTTTTTATATATTCAGTTCTGTTTTAGGTAAATAACTGTTGATTCAGAAGTATTCACATTGTTTAATAATAATAATGAAATAATGATCAATTTATCACTGTGATTTCTATGCGAACGTATTTGTGAAAAATCACTGTGAAATGCGAAACATTTTGCTTTTCTACTGTTCCACAATAAAAAGCAAAGAAAATAGCGGACTTTACCACAAAAGTATTGTTAGATATACATGAGCATCAATAAACGATGTTTCAAAAAACGAAATGAGATTCAATTCATATAGTTATATCCTTTTCTTGAAATAATCAAACGTTTTCAATAACCAACCCTTAACAGGGTTGTCAAGAAATTGAACAAAAAGAACCAAAATTCATCACCAAAATGTCCAACCCATTTGAATCCACAATCTAAAAAAATTACGACAAAAAAAACTCTCACCTAGTTTTGATGCTCGCACATTTATAGAAAAAACGCACCTAAAACAAATAGTTTCACTTCTTATATTTCTACATCACAGCCTAAAAGCACACAGGACTCCTCGAAAAAGGCATCGACCCCAAAATCACAAAGCAAAAACCACTACTCGAACCGCGCCAAGTCACAATTTCAACGTCTAATTTCCATTCCTCAAAATCACTAGACCACTAACCCCTTTACTTGACAACTTCCCCCACCATTGAAAGCTCTATAAGTGCGAAAACCTTGCAAAACTTCACAATAAACGGCGAATTTCGATACGTTTCTCATTCTTCACCACATTTTTCCGCTATAACACGTCTCGTTTCTGTTTACCACGCGGTTAATCTAAACTTGACTGAGCGCTCCTACCTTTGTCCCCCCCACCTTTGGGTAATCTGTGGTTCAAGCCGCACACCAGTCTTCTTCGGATAGTGTCGGTGATGCCCGAAAGAAATGTAGGAAACCGTATTATGTAGTTTTACACCATGTTATTGGTAAAGGCGTGCCATTATAGGGTAGTTATGGGTGATTGTGGGTTACTCAGTTACATCACCCCACGGCTCCACTTTTTATAGATGGAAGATTATCAAGATTTGGAGAGTTATCTACCCAACACCGCTATTGGTTGGCATCAGAAAATATGAAAGGCCTGAATTGGCAAAACCACGGTGAGTTAAAGAACATTCGTTTTATAAAAAAACCGACTTCAAAACACAAGTTGACGAATACAACAGCAAAGTAATCGCTTCCGATGCAGAAAAATATCAAACGTGTGAGATCCACGCCAAAAATCATAGAAATCAGTTACTATTGTTTATAATTATCCGTCCATTTGTCATGAAAAGTTTGTGGTCCACTTCACGACTGTAATTTCACATAATTTCAGTTCACCATAATCGCAAATTATGACTAGCGCGTCATTTGATTCGTGCCTGCTTTCACACAGAGTAATTCAAACATTAAATTATACGAGAAACCCTCTTTCTATTCCGTTTGTATTCCAAACATTCGTAATGGAATCGAATCAGATATCATTCACAGGATTCCTGAACAATATTATGTAAGAAGCAAATTTCACTTACATGCAATACTGTCATCCCCACTGGTGGACATCCGATGTTTGGACCACTGGTACCAGTGGTATTTAGACAAAAGTGTTTTTTATTCATTTAATTTAAATGATCATGAATTACCATAATTACCATAAAGTAAACAAGTCATCAATCACACATATTAATGCAGACTGCAACAGACTGTTGGTTGACACTGGAAGTCGAAGCATTCTGGAAGTGACCTCTGACTTTATGCCTCCAACTGTCAACTACGAACTGCCTTATAAAGTACTGTTCCCAAGTAGACAGGATTGGATCCTCCGGGAAAAGAAAATATTAAGAGCAGATTGTTGTTGGTTCACAGATGGATCATAAACACCTTCAGGTTCTGGTGCATGTGTTTTCAGTCGCAGACCTAAGACAGAAATATCAACCTGCCTAGGAACCTATGTGACTGTATTTCAAGCGGAAATTTACGCTATTAAATTATGTGCGGAGAGATTGGAAGAATTCAACCTCATACACAAGTCAATAAAAATATTCTCGGACAGTCAAGCGACGTTGGAAGCTCTTGGCTCCTACCGACCAACGTCTAAATTGGTAACAAATTGCCAAAAACGACTAAGCTTGATAGAAGACAACAGATTGTCTCTGGTCTGGATTCCTGGCCATACCGGCCTGGAAGGCAATGAGGCTGCTGACTACCTTGCAAAGGAGGGTGCTGCAAGAATCTTCATCGGACCAGAACCTGTCATTGGCATCTCTTAAGGCTTTGCGAAACAAAGATTGAACACCTAGATGGCAAGAAGATTCATGGACTTCTGGCAGAATCTTCCAAAATTGTCTCATTCCAAGGCGTTTATTCATCCTTCGGAGCTTGATACCAAATAGTAGGGATGAACTACGATGTCTAACAGGCCTACTTACAGGTCACTGTCATTTGAATCATTATATGCAGAGACTCGGACTGTCAGAAGACTTTGTGTGTCGCTTCGGTTTGGAAAATGATGAAACAGCAGAGTACATACTTTGTGCCTGCCCCGCTGGGGACTTAATCAGGTCGTTTTTTTATTAAAGCCTATGTTTCTGGGTGAGCGTCAACCCGCTAACATCGCTGGGGGCGTTCCCCACCGCCTCCTCTCGGAGGGGGTGCGAGGGCGCGCCTGTCTGGAGTCACTTTGCTACTCTACCCTCAAGGTAGAGGTACTCATGAAATGGAGACATTTAAATAATTTATTTTAACAAAAACGGTTTTGCGTTTGCTTTGCATAATGAATATTTGGAATACAAACTGAGAAAAAAGTATAATTTTTCCTTGTTTGGAAGATTTACACATTTTTGAATAGAGCTAATTTTTTAAAATTGATAAATTCCTTCGTTTCTTGGGAAGATTCCACATTTTTTATATGAAGATGGAGTAGTAGAAAGCCAAAAATCAATCTCTCCTAAAAATATACCCCTTTCAAAGATGTTTCGTTTTTTCCGAATATTTGAAAATAATTATTTCATTAAATATAAATATGCATGAATAAAAAAATAATAATTACTTGGTGGATAGTTAAATAAACCATAATTTCAAAACTCCAGAATTGAAGAGTTTATTGTCTTGAATAATTCTTTGAAGATTTTAAAAAGATACCTCGCTGGAAAAATCGAAAAATTTTAATTTTCCTTTCATTTACTAACAAAAAAAAAGTAAAAAATAAATGAAGAATTGCACATTTTTTTTCAAATATTCCCATTGTTTTTTTTTCTCATCAACAGAAGCTACATAAGTATCTTTTAAATTTTTATGTTATTTGTTGGAAAAAGGTTATGAACAAATTCATTTATGATTCAATTTATTTTGGGAAAATCTGAATTATGGAAATGACATTAGAAAAAAATGTTGCTTAAACAAATTTATTGCATAAAAACGTCTCTTTCAACCCATACATATCAATTGTTTCTTGAAAATTATTATTTTCACAGCTGTTTTGAATTATAAAAGATATATTAATTTCTATGATTTTTTATTTACTCTTTCAATAAACAGTTTGTTATAAACAAACACATTTTCACATTTTTTGACTATTTAGTGAAAAACTAAATAAAAATAACCATGTGTTGTAATATGATTATATTTCAAAAATTTCAATAAACTAGTTCCTTCCATTTCTTTATTTCAATCTTATTTCAAAATAAAATATGGTGATTTGTATTTGATTTTTCACTTTTGAAAAAATGTATAAATTGTTAGAATTTATTTGTTTATGAGAGGAAACATCATTTGAGCAAGCTTCTAATCTGGTTCTTGGAATCTGAAGAATTTCATCAACAGGTAGGTACAGTCATGAAAAGGCTTTTAACATCGAACATGGTGATGTTCTGTTGAATATTCTAGTGATACATCATTACAATTTTTTATTTTTCAGATTGTGGAAGTCGAAAATCCCCAGAAGAATCAGAAGAATAATTATACCACATATCATCCTTTACATCTCAATATGAGGCGAATATATATCACATATACTCACTTACCTAACCCTATTTTCTAGCGAATAGTCGGTTGATCAAGCAAAAAGCAGTTCCATTCTATTTATTCTGAACAATAAAAGGTTTCGTATGAAATATGACCATCATTAGATCGCCGCACGCCCCCGATCTCTCGAGGATCCCCTTTTTCTTCTATTTTCCGGCAATTATTGTAAAAAATTTCGTCAACTCTTCCATTCGCTTACACACGATCGCGATCGTTTTTTGTTACGCCGCGGCGGCGAACAGAACCAGACCAGACGCGAGCAAAACCGGCCATTCTAAATGACCCTTCATTTTCAGACGAACTATCAGTCAAAAGTGAAAAATACACCGAGCATTTCTTGTAAAAAATTCGACGCCATTTAATTTCGCTGATAAATATTTATGCCGCGGGGTGGTTTACGTCCATCGGACGGGGAGAAGTCGGCGAAGAAGGATCATTAGAGTTCAGTTCGGGGTTGTCGAAACCCTAGCTTAAATACCCTATTTACAGATTTTATGAAAATGTTAATATTTCACATCAAGACCGCATGATCACGTTGAATTTTTGAGGGGTCATACACCTCTCAAAAGCGTATGATTTTTATGGTATAGTACTAGAACTCGGCCTTTCGCGGACCTCAACTTGGCGAATTTTGCGTCGTGACTTGGGCCTGCACCCGAACAAAATTCAACTGACCCAGGAACTGAAGGTAAACGACTATAGAGAACGACGTGTATTCGCTGAATGGGCTCTGGAGCAGTTGGCAATTGGCTCTAGTTTTCATCGAAAAATCAGCTTCAGCGATGAGGTCCATGTCTGGATAAATGGGTACTTGAACAAACAAAATTGCTAAATTTGGGACGATACCAATCCACATGAGATCTAAGAGCGCCCAATGCATCTCGAAAGAGTCACTGTTTGGTGTGGATTTTGGACTGGCGGCTTCGTCGGTCCATATTTCTTTGAGAACGATTTTGGCCATGATATCACTGTCAACGGCCTGAATTGGATGACCTGGACATCAACGACATGTTCATGCCACATTGGATATTCTGCACGATCGATTTGAGGGTACGGTCATCTCAGGTGGAGGTGATGTAAAGTGGCCAGCAAGATCGTGAGATTTGACCCCGTTAGACTTTTTCTTGTGGGGTTTTCTCAAGAGTCGCAGGTGTATGCGAATAAGCCACAAACCACAGCGGTCCTCGAAGTGAACATAACCCATGCCATTGATCAAATTTAGTCTGAGATATGCGCCAGAGAAGCCATAGCGGACATTTGAACATTTCGAAGATATCCCACACACACTTTGTTTTATTTGAATTCAAACATGGGAAGCATCCAATGAAAGACTTTATAGATATTAATTCATTTCCGGAAAAGTTACTCCTATATGCAAAGTCGAAAATTTTGTTACGACTTCTGTAAAATTAGTTTTTCATATCAAAAATAGCCGTTAATGTTGCCATGCCTTATACAATCTTCATAGAACGGTAAATGTAAGAACCCCTGTACGTTTCTCATATTTTCCTGACCAATTTCCGTTGTACTGTAGTACAACGGAAATATTCCAGTCGCAATTCGTATCTAAATTCATAAAAGCCGTACAAGATTTTTTGGCACTACCATGGGGGTAGCGCAAGGATCAATCCTAAGGCCATTGAGTTTCTTACTTTTCTCAATGGCTCACTAAATACCAATAGGCCGTTCGTGGTATTAGCCAGGGGAGTAGCAGTTTTCTGATAGGCGTCAGTCCACTCAACCTACTGTGTAGGTATAATCGAGACTGGCTTGAACATTCAAAG